TTTTTTTTTTTTTTTTTTTTTTTTTGGGGGGGGGGGGGCGGGGCCGTATTTTATTGTATGACTACTGAAAAGACATTTTTGTTATTTCTAGTCTGGGATTATCACATATAATGCTGGTATGAATATTCTTCAGAATTCAGTGTTGCCTGGTTCACATGTTCGAGTATATCTCACGCTTAGTTGTGAATTCAGTGCATCATAAGATACATATATGACCAAGTTTGGGAGATACCCCTAACGGTTTTCTAAAGTTGTTGGAAACACTTCCACTTCCACCACTGCTAGATGACAGTTCTCATTGCTCTGTAGCTTCACTAACCGTTTGTATTATTGGTCTTTTATTCTAACCATGCCAGTAGGTATGTAGTAGTTTTAATTTGCATTTCATGACTATCATTGAATTTGTGAGCAGGTTTCATATGTTTATTGCTCACTTGAATAGTCTCTTGTAAATTGTTGGTGCCTGTTTTTCTTTTAGGTTGTAGGAGATCATTATATACTTGTGTACTCTTCATCTGAGCTTTTTATCAGTTGTGTCTATATTTTCAGCTTTTCTCTTTTTAATAGTGTCTTCATAAATATTCTTTATTTTAATGTAGTCAGATATATCAGTGTTAAAGGTTATTGGTTTTTGCCCTTTAATAAATGTACCTACTCTGGGCTTATGAAGACTTTTAAAAAAAAAAAAACTTTGTCTTTCACATTTAGATACATAATCCATCTGCATATGATTTGTGTGCTTTTGGTAAAGCAGGAGTCGTAGTTTTTACATATGCAGATCCAATTGACCAAACACCATTTATAGAAAAGTTCATTCTTTCTTTTTCTCTTTGTTTTGCATCCTTTGTTATAGGTTAGGTGTCTATGGATTTGTGTGTCTGTTTCTGGCTTTGTTCTATTCTATTGGTGGTCTGTGTTTGTATCTTGAACCAGTGTCACACACTGCCTTAATTTCTCTAGCTTTGTAATAAATCTTGCTGTCTGGTAGAACCAATCACTCAAATGTCTTGGCCCTTCTTGGTGCTTTGTCTTTTCATTCTTCTTCAAGAGTGTCTTGGCCTTTCTTGGTGCTTTGTATTTCCAAATAAATTTTAGAATCTTGGGATTTTGATTGAGCTTGCACTGAATCTGTAAATCAATTTGGAGAGAACTGACATCTTTAGAATATTTTAACATGATCTATTCCTCCATTTATTTAGGTATTTACCCTCTCTGTGTTTAAGAGTTTTCTACATAGGGGCTTTATGATCTTTTTTTAGGTTTATTTCTGGTTAGTGGCATTTTTGGATTCTGCTTTAACTTTTAAATGTTTCATTTTCTTATAAGTCTGATACATAGAAGTGCAATTGGATTTTGAATATTGACCTTGTATTCATTAATGCTGTAAAACCCACTTATTCTAATAACTATATGTAGATTTTTGTGCATATGTAGTCACCTCTTTAAATAATTACAGTTTTATTTATTCCTTTCCAGTTTTCTAGGACCCCAGTACAATGTTGAGCAGAAGTTGTATGATAGTGTCCATTCCAGTCTTGTTCTTGTTCTCAAAGGGAGAGCTGTCAACAGGCTCATCACTGAGTATGATGTTTGTTGGATATTTTTTACAGAAGCTCTTACAACATTAAGAAAGTATTCTTAGTTTACTAAAATTTTTATTATGCATGGGTAATCAATTTTATTAAACCCTTTTTCTGTTTCTGATGAAGAGATTATGATATGACTTGTTTAGTTTATTAATGTATTGAATTACATCGATGTTTCAAATGTTAAACCAATTTTCATGCCTCAAATAAACCTAACTTGCTAGGATTCAATTTACTTATGATTTGTTTTTTGTTTTTCATGTGTAAGTTTATTTAGTTTTTCTTTCTTCAAGTGTCCCTTTTATATTTAGGTATCAAGATTTTGCTAGGCTCAAAAGTTGGGTGTATTATGATTTCTTTTTTCTTTTTCTCTTCTCTGAAAGAGTTTTTATAAGACTGAGGGTAATTCCTTCAAAAATGTTTAATAGAAGTCTATGTCTGATGGGATGCTACAGATTCTGTTTTTTATTATTTCTTGTTTGTATCTTCTGGTATGTCTGGTTTTTTAATTGTGTACTGGAAAGTCTGTTTACGCAATGCTTTGTAGATAAAAATGTGAAGCCTAGGATGATAACTTCCTCCAGGAAGATTTATGTTGCTTCTGCCAAGAAAATTGTCCCTAACCTCTAGGCTTACCTCCCTGGACATCTGTTCTTCCACAAACCCTAGACTTGTAATTCTTACATTAACTTGTCAGTGTCTTCAATCTTTTCTAGCTGTCCTGTCCTTTGTGGGACGGTTGGACCAATTACTTAGGGAATCCAAGCAGAAGTCACTCCCATTTTCCAGGGTTTTAGATATGTTCTTTATCTCTTGCCTTCTTGTCTTATGCCACCTAAATTGCTAGAATCTAGGGGCTATGCATTGCATATTCCAAATATATGACAGTGTCTCGTTTTTTTTGTTTTTCCACAATTCATACTTTATTGGGTGATTTTCTTTATTTGAAAGTTTGCTAGTTCGTTATTTCTTTTATTTCTCTCCTAACATTTACAGTAAAGCCAAGTTGTAGATAATTTTGTTTTTGTTTAAATAAGTTTCTAACCTTTGCTGACCTCAGAATTTATGTTTTGATGAAGAAAACCAAAGCTGAACGGTATTAGGGTATTTGGGCTTAAGAGAGTGCACAGTGGACTGTTACTTCTTTTAATTAAACAAAGATAGCTGTAAACATAATGCTTTACAATGTCTGTTTTAAATATAAAGTCTTTCTTTACAGAACGCTTTGGATAAACAAGAAGAATTGACACCTCTTGGAGTCCATTTAGCACGGTTACCAGTTGAGCCACATATTGGGAAAATGATTCTTTTTGGAGCTCTGTTCTGTTGCTTAGACCCAGTTCTCACTATTGCTGCTAGTCTCAGCTTCAAAGATCCCTTTGTCATTCCATTGGTAAGAAAGAAATGAAGGCTAGGCATTTTTAGATGTAGAAAGTAGCTGTTGCTTAGATACATTTTTAATTAGCTTTTTATTGGAATGCTGTTCTCTATTATAGCATCTGAGCAATTTAAATTGCCTTTGTTACTTTTTTAAGGGAAAAGAAAAGATCGCAGATGCAAGAAGAAAGGAATTAGCAAAGGATACTAAAAGTGACCACTTGACAGTTGTCAATGCATTTGAGGTAAAAAAAAAAAAAAAAAAAGTTCTGGATTGTGACAGATTATTCAAATGCGAAGCTGACAGTACAACAGGAACATATTAACCTTTTAAAATCTATATTACAGGTATCAGGAATAAATTGCTGAGAATATTAAAATTAGGTGAAGATTTGAAAAAAAAATCGTAATTCTCAATTTTGTAATAGCTCATTACATTTGCCCTTTTAGGGAAAAAAGTGTGTTTTGATAAGAATAGAACAAGTGAACAATTTTTATGTTTAGTATTATTCCTTTTATTTTTGTCATATTGCCATTCCTGACAGTTTTTTTCTATTCATTAATAAAGTACCTCTATATTCAGAATTGACATTTTGATAGAGTATAATAATCATGCACATAATTCAGATTGGGGAGACATTTTCTGTTCCCAAAAACCTAGCTTATCCAAGGGTAAACATTTATCATCCATCTTTGCAAAATTTAATGTAATTGGTTTATAGAGGTGGTAACTTTTTAGTATAGCTCTAGTTTGTTTTGTACAGCGTATTTTGGGAAAGTTTACGTGTCTTTTCTTTTGAATGTATTTAGCCTTTTCTTTCCCTTTTTCCCATTTTCTTCTTTTTATAGCTTAAAAAAACATTTGTGAAGGTGATTGATTAATACATTATGCATAGTATGCCATTTTGTGTGAAATACACAATGAATATATCACTATATAACTTATTTGTATAAAGGTCTGGAACTTCAATTGTGGTTATCTCTTAACTAGGATCATGGGGAGGTTTTTTTTAGTTTGTAAATTTGAAAGTTCTTTGAAGTTTTTACAAAGAAAATGAAAATCAGTAGAAGATTAAATTATTATTAAAATAAAGACAGAAACTTGTAAGTAATCTTTACTTTGAGGAACAATATAGATTTTTTTCTTTTTATTTATTTATTATTTATTTTATTGGTTATGAATATTCATGGGGTACAAAGCAAATTGTCACCACTCGTGCCTAAGGTGTGATGGCCAGATCCATACTGTCAGCATGCCCATTACCACAAATTGTGATTATACCCCAAATCCCCCACCCAATTATCCTCCCAATTATCCCCCCAATTATCCCCGACCTCCCTCCCCATCCCCCTTTCCGCACTCCACTTTGTCTCCCTAGGTATGTTCTCTTGCTCTGCAAGTACAACGCACCACTGTGGTCTTTCTTTCCTTCCTTCTCTCTCTCTTAGCTCCCACTTACGAGTGAGTACATACGGTATTTATCCCTCTGTGCTTTGCTTATTTTACTCAACATAAATTTCTCCAAGCTCATCAATGTTGTTGCAAATGGGAGAATTCCATTCTTTTTTATAGCAAAGTAGTATTCCATGGTGTATATATACTACATTTTCTTTTTCCAGTCATGCATTGATGGACATATAGCTTGGTTCCATATGTTGGCTATTGTGAACACAGCTGCAATGAACATGGGAGTGCCAGGCATCCCTTCAACATGATGATTTCCATTCCTTAGGGTATATACCCAGAAGTGGGATTGCTGGATTGTATGGAAGGTCTGTCTGTAGTTGTTTTGAGAAACCTCCATACTGTTTTCCATAGTGGTTGTACTAATTTACAGTCTCACCAATAGTGCAAGGAGCATTCCCTTCTCTCCACATCCTCACCAGCATTTGTTATTCTCTGTCTCTTTGATTACAGCCAGTCTAACTGAAGTGAGATGATATCTCAGTGTGGTTTTAATTTGCATTTCCCTGATGACTAGTGAAGTTGAGCATTTTTTCATATCCCTGTTGGGCATTTGTATGTCTTCCTTTGAAAAATGTCTATTCAGTTCCTTTGCCCAATTTTTAATTGGGTTATTTGTTTTTTTACTGTGTAATTGCTTGAGTTGTATATTATGGATATTAATCCCTTGCTGGATATAGATTTCTTTATTTCTTTGTCCTTTAGGGCTGGGAAGAAGCTAGGCGACGTGGTTTCCGATATGAAAAGGACTATTGCTGGGAATATTTTCTTTCTTCAAACACACTACAGGTAACGGTGAATATTTTGTGGTAATTGTCATATATAAATTAAATTGATGAATATATGTTTCCATAGTATATAATTAGATATGTAGCAAAAGTCAAATATATACAAATTTTGTGTATATTTGTATTGTATACAGAATAGTAGGGAGAATCTTTATTAAGTCAACAAAACAAGTGAAGATGTATAATGTAATATAATAAACAAAAAACTAATGGCTGAGAAAAGAAACAAGGTTGCACAGCATAACAGGGAAGCATAGTGAGGCTCATTTAATGTTCCTATTCTCACCCTCTAGTTGCCATTTTGATGATTCAAACTAAGAATTTTTACTAATACATCTAAAATCTATTGAAAAATATCAAATAGGTAGTTATTTTTAACTTTTCTGATTTAATGTACTGAAAATAATGTGTGGCAGGCATTTGTGAAACAGAAGAAAATAAGCAATAAATAGGGCATATGCACTTCAGACTCTACACTGAACTGGGGAAATGATCTCAGGCCAGTACAAATAGGAATAGCCTCACCTTCCAATACGTACACTCCAGCTATGTGGCCTGAACCCTGATACTGGACATTTAACAAATCTACAAAGCGGTAAACAAGTCAAGAATCTAGCATATCTTACCCAAAAGTGCCTAATCATTAGCAAAATGAGAAAAAGCGTTATGACAACTCTGAAAGACACTACGGCCAAAGAAAAAAAGGAATGAAATACAGCATATTTCAACAGAAAATACCTTCCAATTGCTTCATAATATGGAGTAGCTTAATAAGAATATAAGTGTAGTAAAACAAAGATAAGAAAATGAACCAATAGAATGAATGAAAAGACTGTTCATCTAAGAAATCAAATTGAAAACCAAAAGAAAATCACAAGGAACAAAATGGACACCCCTTAAAAACGAATTATTGCTGTAGAAGAAAAGCTTGACATAATCACAGGTCGTGGATGCAGCTGAAAAAGACAGAAATTAAAGCAGTAAGTAAAAAGCTTATAGACAGCAAGATGGGACTGATCCATCATGAGGATTTTTATTACATAAAAATCATATGTAATCAGATGCTTATTCAGAGACATATAAGAACATTTCCTTGAAACAGGAAAAATGAAATGAACCGGAAGAATGAAAATGTGGCTGAATCTGGGTGTTGTTTGAAAATATCATGTTCAGTCAAGATACGAATTCAAATATAAAGACAAAGGACAGGCATTCAAGAAAGCACTCAAGAAATACTGTACCCACGAGCTCTTCTTGAAAAACTCATTGACAATTGAAATGACTATTAAGAGATGAATCAGAGTGGAGACTTCAATGATGGTGTGCACTGAAATAACTTAAATATAAACTAATATAAAATAGTGTTGGGAATTATACGTACAGAATTGAATGTAAAGATTATTATCTTGAACAATATGAAGAAATGATAATAAAAACCAGGAGGTGGCTAGGAAAATTAAGAAATTTAAGAAAAATTAAGTAGGGAAATCAAAGTCACACCTTTCATGAAGGGGATCTATACTGAAATATGATCAAATCTGTGTTTTATAATCTCTTGTTTTAAGCTTAAAAAGGATTCTTTAGAAAATATTTTTTGAGACTTTGAAAATAAAAGATTCATCTCGTTATTGACTTTAATTTCTACTTTCTTTAAATTCAACTAAAATTAATTGTGATAGTTTTATAAAAACAATTTTTATATACTGTGATCTCATTGTTAGGATACATTCCTAATGTGTCTGCAGTCTTGTTTACTTAATTCATAATAATTTCTGAAGAGTATTGAGGTGAGGGAAGTTTCTTCATTTGTACTTTTCTGTTTTACTTGAATGCTTTATAAGGATCTGTGCATCATTTTTACTCAAATAGTAATTTTTCTTGAAAAACAACAACAAAAAAACCCCCCAGAAAACAAGCCTTAGGCTTATGTGCCAACATGTTAAAAGTAGTTCATTCTTGGTAATAGAAATACAGATGTTAGTTATGTTTTTTATGCTTTTGTATATTTTTTCAAAATAAGGGGTTGAAAATGATTTTAAACATTATGTTAGTCTTTTGGAATAATCCTAAAACATCAATGGCTATCCCTTATGACATGCAAATGTTTTCTGTAAAAGGCCTAGTATTTTATGCTTGCAGGCCGTTATGGTCTTTGTTGCAACCATTCACCTCTGCCTTTAAGGTGCAAAAGCCACCCTAGACAATATGTAGATGAATGGGTGTGGCTGTGTTCCAGTAAAACTTAATTGAGAAAATCAGGCTTTTGTAGTTTGCCAGCCCCTGCTTTTTAAAACATCACATTTTTGTAAAAAAGTGTTTTCAGATAGTAGGGAAAGTTTACAACTAAATTATATGAGCGTATGCTTTATAGCCCCTGTGTGTGAAAGGTGTTCTCGTTCTGTTTGTTACCATTGTTCCCCAGATGCTGCATAACATGAAAGGACAGTTTGCTGAGCATCTTCTTGGAGCCGGATTTGTAAGCAATAGAAATCCTAAAGATCCAGAAGCTAATATAAATTCAGGTAAAGCAGAAAACACAGTGCAAATAACTTGCTGCTGTTATCCGTTGTATCAGTATTTCACTTTTTTTTCCCTCTGTCTTCCCGTCTCCAATAGATAATGAGAAGATAATTAAAGCTGTTGTTTGTGCTGGCTTATATCCCAAAGTTGCTAAAATCCGACTAAATTTGGGTAAAAAAAGAAAAATGTAAGCATTGAAGATTATTGTGAATTACTTGTAATTCTTTCTTTAAACTTTTGAAATCATGTAATGTAACAGGTTTTATATTGTAAATTTGTTCTTATTCCTATTTGGTCTATTTAATGTTCTTTACTTTTAATCATGTAGAAGGCAGGCTGTTTAACACAGGCATCTCTTTCCTTCGCAACACATCCCTGGAGTCACCGCTCCAATCACCCATTATTCACAAAGAATGTCAGTAAAACATGATACCAATGTAAATATTTGAAAAACCAGCCAACTGTGAAAAACCAGTGCCTGGGTAGTAATTGCTTATGGTAGATTTTGTTTCAGGAATTTTTCCCCTCCTCTTATAAAATAGATAATTTTGTAACTTAGTTCTTTGATTAAAATTGTGATTATTTTACTATTTTGAGAAATAAAGTATAACTAGCAAATGTATATATGAATATCCTCAATAGTAATTGGAGACAACACAAGGCATATTTTTGCCTGGTAAAAATTCTAGTAAGGATACAGAGAAACTAAAAATCACAAAATGGCTAGTGGTACATCATCCTTTTGGAAGGCACTTTAGATTAAAATTATGTATCAGGAGTCGTTAAAAAAGTAACTGGCCCAGTGAATAGATAAATATTTTAATTTGAGTATGTCCTAAGGAAGTAATTTCAAATTTTTTTAATACCTATATTGCAACCAACATAGGTATTTAGCAGCAATGGAGGAATTATGGTTTTATATCATATTATATGGCATTTCAGTAGTATAATCTGTAAAACTTTGAAGTGATGTTTTATATGAAAAAGTTGGATAAACTGTGATTATAAACAGGAAAAGAATATAGGCTTTAAAGATAAATTAAAGTGCAAACATTGTTTAGGGCAGTGGTTCTCAGCTGGGGTCATTTTGCCCCCAGCGAACATTTGACTGTCTGCAGACATTTGTGATTGTACTAAGTGGAGGACTGCTACTAGCATCTACTAGGTAGAGGCCAGGGATGCTGTTAAACATCTTATAATGCTCAGGACAGCCCGCCACAACAAATAGTTACCCCGTTCAGTGTGTTAGTAGTGCTGAGGTTGAAAAATCCTGTTCTACTGGCCGGCCCAGTGGCACACTGCTACAGTGCGCCGCTTGGGAGCGCGGCGGCACTCCCGCCAAGGGTTCGGATCCCACATACAGACCGGTTCCCACTCACTGGCTGAGCGAGGGGCGGGCGCAGCACCGAGGGTTGCGATCCTGTTGCCGGTCCCAGTCCGGTACGGGCGCGACACTGAGGGTTGCGGTCCTTGCCGGACACAAAAAAAGACAAAAAGGAAAAAAAAAAAATCCTGTTCTAGGGTATAAGATTATGGGTAACAGACAAAATTTAATCACTGTGGTTGAACTGTCTACATTCTAAGTGATCCGAGTACTTTTCTTGGCCAAATTCTTTTCTATATCTATACCTAACTTTACAAGTAGCTTAACAGAGAGACTCTTTGAAATAAAATATTTTATTATCTCCCTCTGCCATTGTGGGAAAGCTTTATGAAAAAAAAAATGCATTCCTTTTATATTTGTACTTTGTTTTTGATCTTTGGCTTTGTTTTTATACATTTTTATTGGAACACAGCCACACCCATTCATTTACATGTTATCTGTGTCTGCTTTCCTGCTATGCTAGAGGTGGGTAGTTGAGACAGAGATTATACTGCCCACAAAGCCTAAAATTACTGTTTGGTCCTGTACAGAAATTTGCCAATCCCTGCTGCTCTAACGATGCAGGGTTGCAGGATGGCAGTGATTAAATTGTGAGATGAGAAAAAATAATTTCTGATTTTATTATGAATAATTAATCATGACTGTGATTCATGATTTGTTAGAAGTATTATAAATTCGTAGTACCTCAAAAAGATAATCTTAAAAACAAAAAGGGAAAATTAATGGATTACTAGCTTTTATGCTATTGTCTAATACGGGTAATCAGCATTAACTATGAAAAATAAGCCGTCAAACATCTATCTCCCTGTTGAATAGTATTAGTTAAAGACTTATAAATTGAGATAAAATTTATATGAGTATCAAAGAAAAGATCCGTAGGAATTGAGAGACTGAACTAGAATTGTGTCAGTATACATTTATCCCAGATATTGCTGTTTTGAAATTGGGAGATTTGAGTGAATGTAAGACCATTTAAAACATTTTAAAATAGGTTTTTTTTTAACCCAGTTATAGTGAAAAGTCACTTTTAAACAAAAATTTTATTTCTATATTCATCTGAGTACATACCCTTGATATT